GGAACACAACAATAAATTGTAACAATGTTATAATTTGTTAAAGCGCAAATGATAAATGATACTCAGCGTGCAACAGTTCAATTTCATTCTGTGCAGAGACATGGTTGATACAACATGTTATTGTATGCTACAGTAGTACAAAACTTTACAGTTTTATTTATGAAAGGAAGCTTTGGATTTATTTTTACATTGAAAAATTCATGGATGAGTCTGACATTGAATTTGAAAGAAGTAAGATTAATACTGTTTTCAATCTAGGCCTAGGCTACTAGAATTAGGGCTACTGCTAGCCCATACAGTACTATGCATAGGCCTATATAGTTAGTGGTTGTACTACATGTAGCTACTCTAGGCCTAGCTATAGGCTAGACCTGATTATATAGGCAGTACTATTGTACTATCTAGGCCTTGCTACGGCTATCTTTAAGTCTTCCTAGCCTAGCTAGGGCCTAGGCCGGTTTTAATGTTCAGCCAGGCCTAAGGCCTAGGCTTAGAATAATTTCTTTGCCTACCTACCTCAAGTATGTTTTGCTTTCGTCAGCTTCATAATTTTCTAAATTAAATTTACCGTACTTCCAGTATGGTAAAGTTACACTATGCTGCCTGGCGTCAAACAGTAATAATAAATCATCATCATCGCCTGCTACGAGCAGATCGTCTATCCTGGCAGCAGCCATCATACAACAGTTACATAGGCCTATCTACAGTGTTTATTTTCAATTCACTCAAGCATGTCCGGTGGTGACGTATGTATTTGCATCGTCGTCGGGATGATAGTCTGATCATAGCAGAACAACACTAATGTAGGCCTCCCAAAATGTGGCAACCGTATCCGAAAACGGCATGGGTGTCCTCTATACCCAGGCCTAATAATATGACCTACAGAGAAAAAATAATGCCAACCTAGCTTACTGCACTAAATTCTGATTTTCATCATATATGAAGAGTATTCATTTTCGATTACTGTATTAGGAATTGGGGCTAAAAATAATAGGAAATCGTGTTGACAGTTTTTACATGCATTAACCTTCATAAAATAATTACCATTAGCGTATGATATGCAACTATATTAATTACTACTTATAATTATAGAGACCTGTATGTGCAGGGTATAGTGCTGGAGGTGCCAATGTATTCAACAAGGGTGAACCATTCCAGCTAATCTGATAACTTGTGACCTTTCTCTACAGTCTCTAATATAGTTTACTACATCACCCCTAATAATGTAGTCAGTGTCCTAAATAATGATGAAAGTTGAGTCATGTATAAGGTGCAACATGTTGTGCAACTTTTTCAACACTGCCAAATTCATTTTCTTTGCCAAGTCATTTCCTTGGCGAAGACACTGTTGGCAAAGTGCCTTCCTCAAGGAGGCTGTGCAAGTAATGTGAACAGCTTTTTGCATGAACCTATAACCTTTAGATTAAAGGAGAAGCCAGTGTGCCAAAATCATATCTGAAGAAATGATAGTCTCCTCTTACTACCTCAGGTATGGGGTAGCTTAGTTGAGTACAGCTTAGCTCAGTCAGACCAATTGTTGGTAGCTACTATGTGTGCACTGAACTGCAGAGATCCATAACCCTGGGCCCTGGTTCAATTCTGTCGGGAAGACCAAAATCTGGTCTCCAATAGTGACACTATGTTTCAGAATAGATTGTTTTTTTATCTTTGGTCTCTTGTGCAATATGGAAATTAACTTTATGATGATTCATGAGGTGTACATCTCCTACACAGTGTGTGACCTTCTTAATTACTGTACACTGTGTAAACAATCAATGACAGTTAACCCTCTGGATACCGGATTCTTTTGTAGTGCAAACACTTGAATACCGGATTCTTTTGCAGTGTAAAAGGTTTTTTGCATTTTTTGAGTATACGTCGTTCTGGTGGATTTTTTTGAACTTTCTCTAAATTATACAGAAAAATGTTTCAAAAACAAAGAAAGCTTATAGAATAAGCTTTCATTTGATGTATAATTTATATTTTTAGGATTTTTTTTTCATAATAGAATATAATATAATATATATAATATAATATAAATGACAGAAAAATGCTACATAAAAATCGTCAGCAAAAACCGAAAAAAAAAAAAATTATAGCCAAAAAAAAAATAAAAACAAATATAAAACATTCCTACTCCACACAGTTATATAATTTATTTACCCAACCATCCATAACTATAAGCACGATCTTTCCATTTCCATTCAAAACCGTCGACCACCCTTACATTTCCAGGCCTAGGCTCCTCTTCATCAAGGACATCTCCGCCGTCAGAACTGCTTGAAGCCCCACCGTCATCATCGCTAACAGGCACGTCTAAGTCTCGCACATCTAAAAACTCGCCTTCATCGCTGTCTGAATAAAAAATCAGGTCAATCGCTTCCTCAGCTGTGTACACATCTTGTGCGGCCATTTCGAAAAATTGTTGAAATTAATAACTATTTCAAATTGATATTTCTAAAAATTTTTATATAAGCGCATGTGAGTTCTTCAGAGATTTCGAAAGAAAAAAGCTCCACGCATGCATGTTCAAAATTTCTGACGTATTGGAGCTAAAATAAAAACAGGAGCGATTTGAAAACCACCTATTTTTTAGTCACTAAATTTCGACTGCAGTCGAAAATGGGAATTCTCGGTTTGAGGTCAATTTCGACTACAGTCGAAGACGGTATCTAGAGGGTTAAGTGATAAAGTTCTTGATACAGTACTACAGTATTACCAACATGCAAGGTCACTGAAGGTAGTACCTGTTCCACTGTACAGCAGCCTTCAGTTGTTTAATGGGTCTTTGAACATTAACATGTCAAACACTAAGGGTGTGTTTCTACTGATAAACACAAAATAATAGATTTTTTTAAACCGCTTTTTTAATGCGTACCAGACAGCCTGCTCGCGTTGCAACTGCAATTTTTGATTTTTCGAAAATCGGTTTTTGTGACGGAAATTATGTTTTGAAAGTTCGCACCTAATATGATCTAGTCTTTGCAGTGATTGACCTGGAGGTCACATTTCACCTGATAATTGCTTTTTTTGTGTTGTAGCTAAAAATTTTTTTTTAATCGCTTTTAAACTGGTCCCGCATCTATTGTGAGAATAAAAGCGATTTTTCAAAAAAGCGATTTTTAATCGATTATTTCCTTCCAGTAGAAACAGGCCCTAAAACCACAATCGCACGGGACTTAGTTTGCTAAAACTAACCGACATGACGGTTAGTTTAGTCATAAATAGTCCTGTGCGAACAACCTAGGAAGTTTTCCGGTCAGGAAACTTACCCGAGTCGATGGTGCTCAGGAAAACTACTGGAGTGTATCTGACTGGGCTAGATAGTCCAATGCGAACAGCGCGACTCGGTTAATCTTCCGGGGTCACTGAAGTTGATGACATTTATCGCTCTGTTGCGCACAATTTCAACTCACAATTTCGCGCGACACGAATATTGTTTTGATTCTGCTTGTTGGTATTGTAACTAAATTTATATCATCGTTTCTGCTTTCACTTGCCTGAATTATTATTATTGGAGCATGACTGATTTGATTGAAATTGTGAATGGTTTGTTTAGCCTTCCTAGGCCGAACAATCAAATTCGTACTCGCAGTAGTAGTAGTAGTAGGCCTAGGTTTTACCCTCGATGACAGGCAAAAATCCAAGTGCGGACAGCCTTACGATTTCACCGTCGGAGTGTTAACTGGCGTCTCAGCAAAATCTTCCCCTTTTTAAATCCAGTGCAACTGCGGTTTAATTAGATTTCACCTGACCAGTTGGGTATAGAACTGTGAAGGCTTTGTACACATAATGTTTAGTCTTCATAGTTACGTTTACTCCTGAAGGGGGATAAATCCAAAGTTTGTTGCAGTATGTCAGAGTATTGATTATTTATCGTTGGTCGTGTACAACTTGGTACATGGGCTTGAAAAATCCTGTTCCAAATAGGGCCCGTTCATGCTTATGTTATTACCCGTTGAATGTTAGCGGGAATATAATTCGAAGGTAGTATGAACGGGGGTAATTGAAAAAACATCTGGCCAAAAAGCAAGTTAGCCAACCCACCAAACTTGCCGGTTAAAAGTTTCTCGAGGCGAATCCTCGTGACCTCGGTGATGACATTAATGACTTTTACAGGCCTAGGCCTACTAACGAGGGATGTCCAAAATAGGCCTACCTCATGCTGCGAGTGCGATAAGGGTCCTCCCAAGCATTATTCCTATCCCTTTTCTCTCAATTCTCCAAAGAGTCAACATGCATTGCTCCTATGCCGCAAAATTATATTTTTACTTAACTTTACTTGGGACTTCGCTATTAATTTCCCCGAAAATGAATCGAAAAAATGCCGGACAGAAGAGGCAACTTTCGCCCTGATAAGTGTGTGGGGGTGTACCCAGAAACAAGAAGGTTTTGATGGGACAAGGAGGAACGCACAAACCTACAGGCTGATAATTACGAAGATGGAAGAGCTGGGATTTGGCTTTAATAGAGCCCAAATAATCAATAAGTGCAAAAACTTAAAAAAACAATACAACCAGGCTAAGGATGAAAACAACAAGTCAGGGAACGGGCCCACAGACTGGTTGTATTTTGCAGAAATGGATGAGATTTTTGGCGATAGGCCAGCATCCAGGCCCACACAACCAGTGTTGGACATAAAACATCATTAGTGAGTGACCTTCTAACTACCCACTGAATTTACAAAGCATGAATGAGGGTTGGTTGTAGGGCCGCAGGCGACTCGCAGGGTTCATACCGTTAAATGTGAAGGCGAGTTGTGTATGAACGCAGGCTTAGTCAATGTTGCCACAGAACATTGCCTCTATGCAGAATGTGTGGCCTCATATTTTGAATTTGTTTATGTTGTGCATTCCAAAACAGCTTTTCAGTATTACTATACTCAGTCAGGGATTGATTTATAGGTACTATAATGTATATGTTAATTCAATATTTACTTAATACATTACTGTACAATAACAAAGCATTCTGCATTTGCTGTGAATATCCAACTTTATTAGACCTACTCTGTTCACAACAAACTGAAGTCTTGCTCTTTGGGTTGGCATCTCTCCGGTATTGGATACACCACCTTCTTGTTACCTGGGTAACCCGGGAACATCATAAACTCTAATATGGATTTTCTGGTAAGCTTGTTTATTCATCAGATCTCTTATATTATTAGCTTCAGTTATTGTATGAATATTTACCTTATATATGCTTTTGTCAAAATTTGAATGCCAAAATGTACTGTAAAGCATCATCTCATGAACTTTATAAGCATGAGGTGTTAACACAATTTCATCCATGACTTGTTTTTAGACCATCAATACTGTAATGTAATAATTATAATTATCAGGTGGTCATTATCCATTAACCATAGCCTGCTCTACTATGCCATTCTTTAGTACATTAGTTAGGCTACCACATTTACTCGACTCCATACAGTAGCTATTGCCATTCCTGTAAAGCCTGTAAAATTATTTGGTGAATTCTAGCTAGTCTTTGTAGGTGTTTTGACTAGTATTAGAACATGTTTGTGAGCGAGGACATGACAAATTCTGGCGGTTGCTTCGATATGTGGCCCAGAAAACGTGACAGCCTGGCCAGTGCTTTGGTCTGGGCATAGCAATTTTAAAGGCTGGCGAGTGGGCCCTACATAACTGAAACCAGTTAGTAATTCACTAAACTTTTTAACAAATCCTTCAATTTTCATTTCCTTGATCCATTTCTTAAACCTGCATGCCCATCTGGGTTTTCATAGTCAAGGGTCGGCTTATCAACAATGCATTATTCATGTTTCAAATGAACCTCAACCAATGGTCACAGTGAATCATATTTATTTGATTAAACACCCCTAAAAAAATTCCCCCCCCCCCCCCAAATAGACATCCCCTCCAGAGCCTCATATCCTCCCTCAAATAAATGCTCCAGGGCATTTATTTTTTCTGTGAATAAAAATTGCCTAAATGACTATAAACAAAACTTAAATGGAAGCAACATCATTCTCAACACATTCTATTATGTTCTACTCCAGTAGAACTAAATTGTTCTAACCTGGTTGGGACCATAGGCCCAAGTCTTTATGATCAAGTATGCAATAACACATTTTGACAGTAATACAATCTGGTGTGTTTATTCAATTAAATATGGTAACTAATTTATCTGTAAATTTCTGAAAACAATTGTTTGGATTTAATTTTTATACAGTAATTCAGGATGACTTTCCTAAAACTGTAAAATGTCTAATTCAGTTATGGCTGAATTAAATTTTCAAGATCTTTGAGTATCCATCGGTCAGTTGAAGGCTAGCCTTGCTAGTGTGTCTTTGTGTCAGTATTAAACACTATTGATTGTCATAAAATCAATTTTTATGTAATCATTCATCATGTCTGCATCATTGGCAATTCCCTCAGGCTTGAAGCATATTTGTTAAAATATTATTTATAATATGAACAGTTGATAAATTATGAAAAATTGAAATCTTTGGAGGGATACAAGATCAAATTTGCATAATTTTTGTCCTTATTTTCTATAATGCATATTAATAATTCTGCCAATAATTGCTTTTGTGTTGACAGCAAGCCCTGTCCGGATTATCAAATTTCATTTGAATATGTGATATGCAAAAATATGGTCATGATGACTATATCATGACTATATATAGGCCCATATGGGCATACAACAGTTTTTAATCAAAGAAAGTTTGATAGCCTGTACAGACCTTTATATTACAGTAGTGTATACTTGTCTGCTGCCCTCTATACTAGTGATGACATGACAACAAAATGAGCTGAGTAGTAGCCTGCCCTCTGAAAATGTCTATCGTACACCAAAGGTTACTGTACTATCAGATCAGATCTGAACATTGACATAGATACCCATATTAAATGTTCCAAATTCATATTGATTAATTAATTTAATTATGTTATGTACAGGATATCATGTGTAGCATAAATTAGAATTCAACCAAGACATCCTTAACATAATATTATAAGGTCAATGCACTTTGTTATAGGCCTTTCTCGCATCTGTGGCCATTATGATTATAGTTTTGCTTACCTATGTTCTGTGTCACACCTTTGGAACATTCTTCACAGAATTGTCTGTTTTAAACACATTTCATTTACGCCACACTTTAGTCATTTTTAGACATAGGATAGATGTTTATTTTTTATAAGTGGCACATGTTAGACAAATAATACTTAAAAAGCTATTGGATCTATGATGAATTTTGGTGATCCGCATCTAGTGCGGATCACCTTCTTATTGTCAGGATCATCATCTTTTTTTTTGGTGATCCGCTTCACAAGCGGATCACCTTTTGTTATTGTCAGAGATCTTCATCATTTTTTTATTCTTTTTCTTTCTCCCATTTTCTGTTCGCACAATATCTCAAAATTGCTGTGAGCTACGCACATATCCACTTCAACGAACATTTGGCTTGGCCTGGAATAGTCACAGTAAGATTTGAACATGCTCAGTCATGCGTGACATCATCTATGCGCAATTTTTTCGTTTTTACATTATCGATCATATTCTAACCAATTGTCAATCCTCAATCATATTCAGTGGGCATAAACTTCAGGTCAAGCATAAATATCACGTACCCAAATCTTTTGTGTGCACGTCATAATGCGTGCATCAAAATTTCAAAATGCTCAAAATCACTTTTTGACTAAATTAGAGCACGTTTCAGGCCATTTTGAGCATTTCAAAATTTTTTGACATTTTTACATGCGCGGCATGTATGGAAGCTAGAAATTACGTTTTTTTTTTTACTTATTTTGGGTTTAATTAATTTCCATTCTTTTCAGTCATCTTTTGGCCAATAGCAATGCCGTACGTGCCCATCAAACATAGGGATCTTTGCGCACGTTTGTGCCGATATACAGTGAAAACATGCTGAAAATCAGGCCTATTTTCCTATCAGTTATAGCTCCTTAGGATGAAAGGTGACCCCCAATTTTTATTACATATTCTGAAAGCACATGAGTTGTACATATGATTTTATAGACCATAATGGCTGATCGGTCACAGTGACGTCATCATTTTGCCATCTGAATAAAAAAAAACTGAATTTTATCTATGACATCATTTTTGAAAATACGCTTTTAAGAGTACCTGGCTTGTCCTGGATCGATCGTCTCCCAACTTTGAGTATGTTACAGCTCAGACAACTCTCTTTCATATGTGACTGTGACTTTTTACATTTTTGATGATGTCATCATGGTCAAAATAAATGGTTTTTTTTATCCCACTCATCTTTCTTTCCTCAAAACTTTGATGACCCATATCATATTAACCATTCGTCATTTCTGAATCATATTCAGTGGAAGCGGATCACCAAAAAAAGATAAAGATGATCCTGACAATAACAAGCTTCTCGAGCACCAATAAATTTGCTTTTGTTTTGTTGTTTTAATCGTAGTATTAATATAAATTGTTTTGTACTCCTATTAATATTTCACTCCTCTTTTGTATCCGTTTACTTAGGATTTTGTTATTTTTATACATTGCTGGTCACCATGAAGATGAATTTCAAATTAAAATAAAGTTGATTTGATTGCTTAATTGATAGAAAATCAGGTAATTCTGACAACTAGCAGAACACAATACAGGTTAATGTTTTCATTCATTGATGCATCATCCATTCATTGATTTGTTTCATTCATTCATTCATCCATGTATTAATTTCATTTCATCCCTTTTATTTGTTTCATTCTTTTCAGTCCTCTCATTTCACTATCAAGTCATTCTATTCCTTAAATCATTCATTAAATTAGTCATTCCATTCATTAAATTTTTAATTCCATTCATTAAATCATTAATTGGATTCATAATATCCTTCATTCAATTTATTAAATTATTCATTCAATTCATTTAAGTCATTCATTCCATGCATTAAATCACTCAATTCATTTAATCATAATAATTTACTATTTTGGATTTCAAGGTTTTGAAACATTTCTGGGGACATAAATTAATTTTCAATATGGATAAACAAAATACAGTTCTGTATAGAGCTAATAATACCAACAATGTAGGGTTATGGTATTGCATTACAGCGTAGATCTTCCTATAAATCGCAATCGTGTGACTGATCTAAAGAAGAATACCTTACGTAAGCTTCTCAAAGATACGTGTACTAAATCTATATTTTCCTGCAATAATCAGCTTTATAAGCAAACTGATGGGGTATCAATGGATTCTCCATTGGGCCCAGTTCTGGCCAGTATTATAATGACTGAGCTTGAGCAATCATTAATTCCTAGTTTGGTTAATGACGGCATTGTTCAATTCTATGCCCGTTTTGTTGACGATACTCTGTTGCTTGCTAAGCCTTTTGAATTTAATTATATACATGATTTATTTAATTTATTTCATCGTAATATAAAGTTTTCACATTTGAGTCTTTTGAGCATTCTACAAATATTCATTTTCTTGATATTTCTTTTGACATGCAAGGTAATATGGGTATTTATTGGAAGGATACCCATACAGGACAGTATGCTTATTTTGAGAGTATTGTTCCATGGGCGCATAAGGTGTCTTGGACACGTAGCCTTTTTTACAGGGCACATAGAATATGTTCCCCTGGTTCATCATTAGATAAGGAGGTCGACATGATTAGAAAACTGGTGTCATGGAATGGTTTCCCGAAGTATATTTTCCATCGTATTCTTTCTAATCTAAATATTCAGAATAATGTAACTGATATCTTTGTTAATGTTGTTAATAGGCCGAAAATTTTGGTGCGCTTACCTTTTCATTGGTAAAAAAGGTAGCTTTATTTAATCCATAAATGTATTAAAAAGATAAGTAGACACTTGATGTTAAATTTGTTACGCTTTGGCAAACCAAACAAATTCATATTTTACTTTTAATAAGGATCTGACACCGAAAGAGTATTGCAGCTCTTTAATATATAAATTCAAATGTCCTGGATGCCTTGAGAGTTATATAGGCAAAACAGATAGATGTTTAAAGGTTCGAGCTGTTGAGAATTTTCGTAATGCAAACAGTAGTGTACATGAAGACATTGAGAGTTGTGAAGGTTTTAACCATATGATTGGTCTACAATTTATGACTGCTGACGATATTTCCAAACAATCTCTTAAAATAGAGTCCTTAAAATTTGATAATATTAATACTATTCATAGTTTTGTACATTGGACAGAAATTTTATTTGCTGAAGCCTTAGCAATAAGATACAAGCCTAGTTGAAACTATGGTCTCAGAGCCTTTAAAGAACTTGCATTATTCACCTAAGCGTAAAGTGTCAACTTGCCTTTGTTCCAAAATAATCATTTGTTTATCAGAATATCATCTTGTCTCCAAATGATCTGCCCACCTTTTTCTAATTGGTCAAAATTTATCTTGATTTATATTGATTTCGGTTAAGTTTGTCACCCTTTTGGACTATAGACTATTCATTCTTGACAATTTTCTAATAAAGAAAGAAATGTAGAATCAACTACGACCTCATGTCTGTCATTTTTCGGAGTCACCATACTCATATTTTATTTACCTATAATCAGTGGATCCTTTGGTTTTTGTACAGTAAGCCTACTACATCATTGACATCACAACACCATATAAATCTTGAACAGGAACAAACTACTAAGGTAGCGAAAATCTATCAACTTAATCATTTGCAACTAATATACATCACTGGTTAATGAAAAATAAAACACAAACATGAAAAAGCAATTAGCTGAAGATGAGTAATATGCCATCACTATTATCTGTACTGTAATGATAATACAGTAGTAATAGAATTTTAAACTTACATTTTTCACAACACAACAATATGCATTTACTCATGAAATTAAATTTTCAAATGAATAAT